TAAAAAAAAAGAACCAAACAAAAGTTCTGGAGATGAGAACTCCATAAATGAGATGAAGAATAAAGTAGAAAGTGTTTGAAATAGAGTAGACCACGTGGAAGAGAGCACTAGTGAGCCTGAAGACAGAAATTTAGAAATGGTTCGCATAGAAGAGGGGCAAGAAACAAGATTTAAAGAACATGAAGAAACTGTATGAGAAATATCTGACTTCATCAGAAAAAACAACATAAAGATAATGGGTAACTCAGAAGTAGCAGTGTGGGAGAAGGGAGCAGAGAGCTTATTTAAAGAAATAATAGGTGAGGGCCGGCTCCGTGGCTTAGCGGTTAAGTGCATGCGCTCTGCTACTGGCGGCCTGGGTTCAGATCCCAGGCACGCACCAATGCACGGCTTGTCCTGCCGTGCTGAGGCCGCATCCCACATACAGCAACTAGAAGGATGTGCAACTATGACATACAACTATCTACTGGGGCTTTGGGGAAAAAAAGGGAGGAGGATTGGCAATAGATGTTAGCTCAGGGCCGGTCTTCCTCAGCAAAAAGAGGAGGATTATCATGGATGTTAGCTCAGGGCTGATCTTCCTCACAAAAAAAAAAAAAAACAAATAACAGGTGAGAACTTCCCAAACTTGGGCAAGGAATTAGATATACAAGTACATGAAGCAATTAGAACACCTAATTATCTCAATGCAAAAAGACCTTCAAGACACATTTTGCTGTCAAAAGTCAGTGACAAAGAAAGAATTTTAAAGGCATCCAAGGAAAAAAGAATGTAACCTACAAAGGAACCCCATTAGGCTATCAGCAGATTTCTCAGCAGAAAGTCTACAGGCAGTGGCTTAGTGGTTAAGCGCACGTGCTCCGCTATTGGCGGCATGGGTTTGGATCCTGGGCGCGCACCGACACACCACTTGTCCAGCCATGCTGAGGCGGCATCCCACATATAGGAACTAGAAGGATGTGCAACTATGATGTACAACTATCTACTGGGGCTTTGGCGATAAAAAGGGAAACAAAAAAAGGAGGAGGATTGGCAATTGGCAATAGATGTTAGCTCAGAGCTGGTATCTCTCAGCAAAAAGAGGAGGATTGGCGTGGATGTTAGCTCAGGGCTGATCTTTCCTCAAAAAAAAAAAAAAAAGGAAAGAAACTCTGTAGGCCCTGAGAGAGTGGAATGACATACTCAAAATATTGAAAGATAAAAACTGCCAGCCAAGAATAACCTATCCAGAAAAGTTATCCTTCAGATATGAAGGAGAAATAAAGACTTTCCCAGATACACAAAAGTTGAGGGAGTTCACCATGACTAGACCTGCCTTACAAGAGATGTTGAAAGGAGGTCTTCTACCTGAAACAAAAAGGCAAACATACACAAAACTTTGAGTAAGCTGATAAATAGACAGAACCAGAAAATTGCAAAGCTATTACAGAATGGGATGTTAAATATTTAATTATAGCAAAAAGGTTAAAGGGAAAAAACAGTAAAAGTAACTAAAGCTACTTTAATATGGTAATTAACTCACAACATGAATAGGGATAATTTGTGACAACAAAACACAAAAGGGAAGAAGGAAAAGAATGGAACCTGTATGGGCAAATGAAGATAAGATGCTATCAGCAGAAAAAGGACTATTTTATGTATGAGATGTTTTATACCAATCTCCTGGTAACCACAAAACAAAAATCTAGAGCAGAGACATGAAACATAAAAAAAGAGGAAACTGAGAAAAACATCACAGAAAACCACCAAACTAAAATGGCAGACAGAAACACAAGGACAAAGAAACAATGGAGATGTAGAACAAGCAGATAACAAAAGATAAAATAGAAGTATTAAGTCCTCATATATCAATAATCACCCTAAACATAAATGGATTGAATTCACCTACCGAAAGGTACAGCGTGGCTGCATGGATTAAAAAAAAGATCCAACTATATGCTGCCTTCAAGAGCCTCATTTCAGCTCTAAAGACAAACACAGGCTTAAGGTAAAGGGGTGGGAGAGGATACTTCAAGCAAATGGTAGCCAAAAGAAAGGGGGTGCGGCCATACTTACATCAGAAAAAATAGACTTCAAGCCAAAAAAGGTAACAAGAGATAAAGATGGACATTATATACTGATAAAATGGACAATCCATCAAGAAGATATAACATTTATTAATATATAGGCACCTAACATAAGAGTCCTATATATATATACCAAAGTCTGTAAAGCAACTATTAACAGACCTAAAGGGAGAAATTGACAGCTATAATAGTAGGGGACTTTAACACCCCACTTACATCAATGGATAGATCACCCAGACAGAAAATCAACAAGGAAACATTGCCTTTAAAAGACACATTAGACCAGACGAACCTAACAGATATATACAGAACATTTTATCCAAAAGCAGCAGAATACGCATTCTTCTCAAGTTCACATGAAACATTCTCAAGGAGAGAACAAATGCTGGGACACAAAACAAGTCTCAATAAATTTAGAAAGACTGATATCATATCAAGCAACTTTTCTGACCACAACAGTATAAAACTAGAAATCAACTCCAAGAAGAAAACTAGAAAAATCACAACTATGTTGAGATTAAATGACATGCTGCTGAACAACTATTGAGTCAACAAAGAAATCAAAGGAGACATCAAAAATATACATAGAGACAAATTAAAATGAAAATATGACATACCAAAATCTATGTGATGCAGCAAAAGCAGTACTAAGAGAGAAGTTGATGGTAACGCAGGACTACCTCAAGAAACAAGAAAAATCTCAAATAAACAATCTAACCTTATAGCTAAAAGAACTAGAAAAAGAAGAACAAATGAAGCCCAAAGTCAGTAGAAGGAAGGAAATAATATAAATCAGAGTGGAAATAAATGAAATAGAGGCTAAAAAGACAAAAGAAAATATCACCGAAACTGAGAGCTTGTTCTTTGAAAAAATAAGCAAATTGGCAAACCTTTAGCTAGACTTACTAAGAAAAAAAGAGAGAAGCCTCAAATAAATAAAATCAGAAACAAAAGTGGAGACATTGCAATGGATACCACAAAAATACAAGGGATCATGAGACTACTATAAACAGCTATATACCAACAAATTAGAAAATCTAAAAGAAATAGGTAAATTCTTAGAATCATACAATATTCCAAGACTGAAACATGAAGAAATAGAAAATCTGAATAGACTGATCAGTAAGGAGATTGAAACAGCAATCAAAAACCTCCCTAAAGACAAAAGTTCAGGACTAGATGGCTTCACCGGTGAATTCTACCAAACATTCAAAGATTTAATACATGTCCTTCTCAAATTCTTCCAAAAAGTAGAAGAGGAGAGAATGTTTCCTAACTCATTTTGTGAGGCCAACATAACCATCATACAAAAACCAGACAAGAACAACACAAAATTACAGGCCATCACTGTTGAACATAGATGCAAAATTTCTAGACAAAATATTATCGAACTAAATACAACAATACATTAAAAGGATCATATATCATGATCAAGTGGGATTTATTCCAGGGATGCAGGGATGGTTCAACATCCACAAATCAATCAATGTGATACACCTCATTAACAAATCAAAGAATAAAAATCATATGATCATCTCAGTAGATGCAGAAAAAGCATTTGACAAGAGTCAACATCCATTTATGATAAAAACTCTCAATAAAATGGGTGTAGAAGGAAAGTACATCAATATAATAAAGGCCATACATGACAAACCCACAGCCAACGTCATACTCCATGGTGAAAAACTGAAAGCCATCCCTCTGAGAACAGAAACAAGACAAGGGTGCCCATCCTCACCACTTTTATTCGATATAGCGTTGGAAGTCCTAGCCAGAGCCATTAGGCAAGGAAAAAAAATAAAAGGCATCCAAATTGGAAAGGAAGAAGTAAAGCTGCCACTGTTTGAGGATGACATAATTTTATATGTAGAAAACCCTAAGGAATCCACCAAAAAACTAAAGAAATAATAAACAAATATAGTGAAGTTGCAGGGTACAAAATCAGTATACAAAAATCTGTTGCATTTCTATGCACTAACGACAAACTATCAGAAAGAGAAATTAAGAATACAATCCCATTTACAATTACAACAAATAGAATAAAATACCTGGGAAAAAATTTAACCAAGATGAAAGACCTATACACTGAAAACTATAAAATGTTACAGAAAGAAATTAAAGAAAACACAAAGACCCCGAAGAGCCAGAGCAATCCTTAGAAAAAGGAACAAAGCTGGAGTTATCACAGTCCCTGATTTCAAATTACACAACAAAGCTATAGTAATCAAAATAGTATGATATTGACAGAAAAACAGACACAGATCAATGAAACAGAATTGAGAGCATATGCTATACACAGAAATTAAGGCTTTAATGTAAGATCTGAAACCATAAAACTCCTAGAAGAAAGCATAGGCAGTACAGTCTTTGACACCGGTCTTAGGAGCAGATTTTTGGAAATGTCTCCTCAGCCAAGGGAAACAAAAGCAAAAATAAACAAATGTACTACATCAAACTGAAAAGCTTCTGCACAGCAAAGGAAACCACCAACAAAATGAAAAGACAACCTATGAAATCAGAGAATTTGCGAATCATATCTGACAAGGGGTTAATATCCAAAATATATAATGAACTCATACAACTCAACAACAAAAAAATAAACAACCTGAGTAAAAAATAGGTAGATGATCTGAATAGACATTTTTCCAAAGAAGATATACAGATGGCCAACAAGCACAAGAAAAGATGTTCAACATTACTAATTATTAGGGAAATCCAAATCAAAACCACAATAAGATATTGCCTCATGCCCATTGGAAGGGCTATTATAGAAAGGACAAGACATAGCAAGTGTTGGTGAGGATGTGGAGAAAAGGGAACCCTCATGCACTGTTGGTGAGAATGTAAATTGGTGAGGCCACTATGGAAAACAACGTGGAGATTCCTCAACAAATTAAGAATAGAACTACCATCTGATCCAGCTTTTGCACTTCTAGATATTTATCTGAACAACATGAAAACACTAATTCGAAAAGATATATATTCCCTTATGTTTATTGCAGCATTATTTACAGTAGACAAGATAAGGAAACAACCTAAGTGCCCATCAATGGATGCATGGATAAAGACGATGTGGTGTATACACAATGGAATACTACTCAGCTATAAAAAAAAGATGAAATCTTGCCATTTGTAACATGGGTGGACCTTGAGCGCATTGTGCTAAATAAAATAAGTCTAGACATTTAGCATGATTTCACTCATGTGGAATATAAAAAACAAATGAATAATAAAAACAAACTCACAGAAGCAGACAACAGATTGGTGGTTCTCAGAGGGGAAAGGGTTGAAGGAAGATGAAATAGGTAAAAGGAGTCAATTGTATGGTGACAGATGGGAACTAGACTTTCGGTGGTTAGCACACTGTGGTGTATAAAGATGTCGAATTATAATGTTGTACACACGAAACCCATACAACGTTATAAACCAATGTTACCTCAAAATAGAAAAAAGACAAGATTGCTTGCATTTTGCAATTTTGTGATGGAATTATAATGTTTTTCCTTAAACATCTGTCACATAATCTAGATTCAGAATTACATAATGCATTCAACACTTTGTAAATGAAGTTCATGACGTAATCTGTTACTCTCTGGTGACTTAGGGCATAAAATTACCTAGTCAATGGAATGATTAATGGAGCTATAAACATGGACATGAAATTTTATTTGTGAAAATATGAAATTCCTTATAAGTTTTATCATAGCTCAGGGAGCTGTAATCTACCCAACCACCAGGAATGCCTCCCTTTCCGTAGGCTAGCTCCTGCTAGAAGGACAGGAGTATCTCACCGGGATACAATTGTATTTTCTTGATGCTATAAATTGTTGGATTTTCCTATAATTTTTATGTAATGTTTATAGAAGTAGAAAGATCCTATCTAAGTGAGTCTTAATCGAGATGTAAATCAGCTCTTGGTGTTTTAAGCTTGGTTAAGATGTCTTCTTTTGCTCTCTTCTGTGAAAGTTAAGTTGTTTATTTGCTTTGTCAGGTGATAGAATGATACTCTCTACTCAACTGCTTACCCCTTCCCCTCAAAAAAAATTCACCCCTGCTTCAACTTCAGTTTCCAACAAGGAGAAGATGTTTCCTCTACCACCGCCCCTCAGACTCACTGTGTACGTACACAACGTTTCTAAACTTTTTAAATCTCTGTCTTAATTTATGACTAAGCATGTAAAACTGTCAAGTCCAAAGTTTACTGTAACCACTACACACCTATTAGAATGGCCAAATTCCCGAACACTGACAACACCAGGTGCTGGCGAGGACGTGGAGCAGCGGGCGCTCTCACACACTGCTGGTGGGAACGCAGAATGGTGCAGCCACTCTGGGAGGCAGTCAGGCAGTTTCTTATGAAAGTAAACACCCTCTTACCATACGATCCAGCAGTCATTCCTCTTCGTTTTTAGGAGTTGTTCCGAAAGAGTCGAAAACTTAAGGCCACATGAAAACCTGCACACAGACGTCTATAGCAGCTGTATTCATAATTGCCGAATCTTTGAAGGAGTTAAGGTGTCCTTCAGCAGGTAAATGGCTAAATAAACTGTGGTACCTCCAGACAATGGAACTTTATTCAGTGCTAAAAGGAAATGAGCTACCAAACCATGAAAAGACCTGGAGGAAATTTAAATGCATATCATTAAGTGAAAGAAGTCAATCTGAAAAGGCTGCATACTGTGTGATTTCAACCATATGACATTCCGGAAAAGGCAAAACTGTGAAGACAATAAAAAGATCAGTGATTGCCAGGGGTGAGGTGGATAGAGAGGAACAGGCAGAGCTCAGAGGATTTTTAGGGCAGTGAAAATACTCCATATGATATTCTAATGATGGATATATGTCTTTACATTTGTCCAAACCTGTAGAATGTACAAAACCAAGAGCGAACCCTAAGGTAAACTATGGATTTCGGATGATTATATATGTCAATGTAGGTTCATCTTTGGTTAAAAAAAAAAAAAAAAGAAAAAGAAATGTACTCTTCTAGTGAGTGATGCTGATAAAGGGGGATACTATGCGTAGGTGGTGGCAGGGGGTATATGAGAAATCCCTGAACCACCTGCTCAATTTTGTTGAAAACCTAAAACTGCTCTTAAGAAAATAATAAAATCTTTTCTAAAAAATACGTTATACTAGCTTTCTAACTGATACACTACTGATTTTTTCATCTTTTTTATCTTCCTTGTACCATTGTTAATTAATATTTTTAGCACATTAATTTTATTTTCCATTTTCAGTAAAGAGATGGATTAGACAAAAATTTTTTAAAAATCTCGCCTATAAGACACCTGAAGATATGAGAGAAACAAATATATGGGAAATATCCTTATAAATCTATAGCTGAGATCATAGGAATGTAATGGAAAATCCCCAAAAGCCTACAATGAAGAGCTAACTGCAAACCCGGGTGATAAGCAGTGATCTGAAGGTGTAAGTATCTTTGGGAGTTTGATTGGTCACAGCAATGTGTTTGAGTTTTTCAAGCCCATGCCAGAGCTAGAAACAGTCCTCTCAAGACAGAGTTAAAAAACAGATTCCCAATGAAGCTGAGACCCTTTCTCTCCCTAAAAGATTATGTCCTCGTAAAAGGAGGGATGAGAGAAAATCCAACCACCATTAAAGGGAAATAACAGGGAACTCTGTCTCAGCCGAGGTGGAGGAGAAAGTCTCCCGGAACACTGTCTGACCACAGTGCTGTACTTCATGCAGTTCTGAGATTTAAGTTTACACAATCTACAAACCAAGAAATGGACGTTAAAGCTTACCCTTTTAAATAGAGTGTCCCTCAAAGATCTCATCAAATGACGTTCAAACAAAGACTTGAAAGAAGTGAGGATGAACCCATACGATGTCTGGAGGAAGAGTGTTAAAGGTGGAAAGAACCAAGAACTCAATCCCCTGAGAGAGCCGAGAGCCTGCAGCAACTCAGCGCTGGGCCTTCAGACCTCTAAATGAGTGTCCCCTCCATTTCATGGTGTGATGCCCCACTTTGGGGGCTCGGATGTATAACAAGTCACTGTCCGTGGGACAGCAAGACTGGGGAGCCAAAGAAAACACAAAGTCGGTGACACCAGGCCCCCAGACAAGCAGACCTGGGACATTAGGCCCCAGGTTTAGGCCAAGTATTGTCAAGACAAGACTGCTTGGCAGGCAACGTCTTCTCAAAGAGCAAGACCCACTTGAGCAGTGACGTGAGCCCTTCTGCCAGGCCAGATGTTACATTCAGGGACATGCAACATAGCACGAGGTGTCCCAACAGGTCTCCTGCAGCTGTAGATGGGAAATATGGAGAAAATGAGAAAAGATAATGTTTGAATGGCTGAGAATTTCCCAAAATGGATTATAGACATAAAACCAGAGGTTCAGGAAGACTGACTTGTCTTGAACTGAATAAACAATGGATTCAAACCTGTTTACGTAGTTAAAACGGCAGAACACAAAAGACATAGGAAAAATCTTAATCTTAGAAATGACTTTCTAAGAGTCATTTCCATTACTCAATAGTAAAAACCAAACACTCAATCCCGAGGTGCATGATTTTTGTCTACCTAGGTCAATCCTGTCTATCTGAACTCATTTCTCTGTCGTGCCCAATAAGTACATCTACTCAGTTTATAGACTTTGTATGTCATGAGTATTCTGATCTCAGTCTTCTCATTGGTCTTCTTCCCGAGTGCCCCGCCCTCTGCCACCATCACTTGAAGAATACCCACGGTATAAATACAAGGTGGTCTCACCTCCACTTTGAGACCTTCCCTGATCATGCCAGCCCACATTTGTGCCACTCACTACTTTACACACCACGTAACCAGTGTTCCTATTTGTGGATGTGTATCTCCTTGCTCAACTGAACTACTGTCTCTTAAACGACACGTACAGTGACAATGGCTGTAGTTCTCTAACTCCTGGATCTAACAGATTCACAAGATTCAGGGGGACTATAGCAATCTCAGCTCTTCTCTTTGCTGAAAATACAATAAAAGCCATCATTTACTATCTATGTCATTTCATAACAGAAAGAACATTTTAACAATGAAAATCTATTAAGAACATAATCTCATGTAAATTTAATAAATTTACCTTAATATGAAGCTCACGATATTGTTCTTATTTTTCTCCCTTTACTAAAATTAACTGAAAAAATCTCGATCAGTGGCAGCCTGGTTACTTCCAGGCCAGCATTTAGAAATCTCTGCTCTATTGCTGCTCTGATTCCCCTCCTTCCTGCCTCTAGACTTATGGCAAAGAAAAGATACATAAATATTTGAGTGATCAGATTAAGTAATGAAATTTGAATTATCTTTATTTCCTCACATTTCTTATTCTCATCAGGGATCTTGTCTCCCTTCCTCATCCCCCATCCCCAGTCAGACCGTCAAGAGGTTTTTCAATATGCAGGTTACCAATGCAAAAATCATTTTGTGTTTTCAGAATTTCTAGCCGAAAGCTCTCTGTGCCTCTTTGTTTCAAAAGCAGTTTTGATTTGCAATTCTGCTACTTGTACGTAGAGGTGAATGTCAAAGTCTGCTTCTAGCTTCCCTTTATTGTCTCTTCTGTTGGCCTTTATTTCTTACTTTTTCTTTTCTATTGTAACCAAATTTATTAATCTAACACTCTCTTTTCTCTAAGGTGACCTGGCTTTTACTTCTATTTTTTCTTCAGCTGTACTTAGATGTTTACATAATTTTAATCACCTATTTCTACCCACAGTTCTTCTCATCTACAAAAATGTTTTTCCCGTGCACCTAGAATTTATTATTTTTATGAAGTTAATTTTTCTGTTATGAAAGCAATGCAATTAATTATAGAATATATTTAACAAACTTTTTAAAATGAAATAAAATCACTTACAAATGTTACTCCCAAAGATGACCATTGTTAACATTTTGATGTATGCCCTGTAGTCCCTTAGAGTCTTCTACTGGGTATTAATACCCTCCCCTTTCAACAGAAAAAGGATTGTATATATGATAATTGACAAAAGCATATTCAGAAGTCCTAGATGGAAAACAATACAAAGAGAGAATGTATTTGCCTATAAAATCCACCACTATTGCTCTGTTACCATCATTAGAAAATAAGATAACACATCAAATCATGCTATTTGAATTTTAAAGATGAAGAAACTTATGACCTAAGGTCCTTGACAATCAAAGTGACCATTACCTGAATCTATACAACTCTGCTTTTGAGGACAGCAGAAGAAATGCCTTTCATCATGAAAATAGTTACCTATTGTTAGTGCATGCTGTTCCAAGATATCACCGGTTAGTGATTTCAGAGGGGGCAGCATACTTGAAAACAATCTGCCTGCCTTCTTCTTAGGAAATCTGTGTCCCAGAGGCCATCTGTGGGGGCCATGTAATCTACCCACCCATTCCCCTTCAATATCTCGACACGTATATCTCACTGGCCACTGCTGATGGGCCAGTTGTCAGCCCCAGAATCCAGAGCAGCCGATACATACAGTGGCTTTCTCGGTTTGGTTTTTCATTTTTCCTGGGAATTGGACTCAGAAAATGAGTCACATCGGAGTGAAGGCCAAGTGTACCGTCACGTGGACTCAAGGGCAGAGGTCTCTACTTAAGCTTGCAAAATCGGACCACACGTGAGACAAGAAACAGCAGAAGACCACGTAGCCTTAGGAAGAGAAAGGTCTTCGTTTCTCTAGATCTGATGACTTTCTGATGCCAGGCGTGGTCTGGTCTGTACAAAGCCCACCTCTTTGTCTTGTCCTGGATTTTTAGGCTTTGAACAGCTCTCGCCTCTTTTTTGTTGCTGAGCCATTTCAGTGTGTTTTTGTTCCTTGCAAGTAATGAGTGAATGACAAGGTAGGAAAAAGGATAAGAGATTCTATCTTAATTGTAGGAAAATCTGTGGAGGTTCAAGAAAACATCTCAAGGAATTCGTGGAGGGTGAGGTGTCGGCAGGGGGAGACGAAGAAGAAAAAGAAAGAGAACTGAAGGGAAGGAAGCCCCTGTACACAGACAAACTTTGCCCCTGACTGAAAAGTTCAGTAAGGAAGTACCTGCAAGTCTTTTTTCTAAAGCAAGCAGTTAGTTTGGTTGGCGACAGTGTCCAGCTCTGTCCCCCTGCCACGGGCAGCACCTCAAATTCAGCTCTTTCAGCCTTAGCTGAGCAGGCAGAGCTATACACAGAATCTGGGGTTCCCTCTCTCCAGCTTTCTCCTTTTCTGGTATTTTCCTCCTCATATTCCAGTGGCTACAGTTGCTCTCTGGACTCTGTCTTCTGGTTCTTCAAGGAAGTAAAACTGTGGATTTTTCGTCAGTTTTAGCTACTCTTAGTGGTGCAAACTGGGTCTGCCCCCAGGCTAAATGTTTAGAAACAGGAAACTCACCAGGTTTCCTTCCTTCCCAGTATCATCTCTCCTCTAATTTCTGTCTGCTTTTGTTCACTCTCCTTATTTGTGTTTCTCACGAGTTGAACATCTTTATCAATCCCAGGAGGGCTGGTCTGATACGAGCTACTTGGCCCCAGTTGGAGCAGAATGCTTCTGAAAGTCTTTTTATTGCCTAACTTTCCCAGTATCAAGTCCTTCTCTTTGTTTTAACCTCTCACTCGGATCAAGTACCTCCTCCAGCAATCATTTTCATGACATATAGAGAGAGACTCTTTTTTGAATTCATGTGTGCCAGAAAGTGGTATTCTATTCCCTTCCTACATAAAAATCAACTTGGCTGGTTAATGTGTGTGTCACAGCTGGCACTGAATATTGCAGAGAAGAATATTGGAGAGGTAGGCAATGGGATAGGAGAAATTCCTATTTGATTCTAACAAAGCCATTCAATATGAAAGCAATAAATTCCAGCTATAAATATGAAAAATAGAAATGACCAACACATTTTAAGACTATGGCCAAGGAAACTCCACATACCCTTTGGCTGCTCTAGCTAGACCACCTCCCTATAAAGAATGAAGAAAAAATAGCAAAAAATAAAATCCAAAGAGAAATCTTTATTAATCAAGACTCAAAAAAACTAAACAAAACAAACCAACAAAAATGGAATACAATAAAAGAATTTAGTAAAGGGGTTTTTTTACCAAGGTGTGGGCAGGGTGTAGAGAAACCAAGGAAGGAAGGTGCAGATCCCCAGGGTAAGCAACCCCAGGGAGCCATTTCTACCCCAAGTCTGAAGGGGCAAAGTCAGGGAACAGTTCTTGGAATCCAGAGGGTGGCTATATGGAAAGGGTCCCTCATAGGTGCTGTGCCAACTCTCAAAAACCTGGAAGGAATGAAGGTAGGAAAACAAATTCTCCAATCTCATTCTCCTCTTGTCCTCCAATCTCTTGCAGGTGCTCCCACTGGGTGAACTCAACTGGAAGCCAGAATATTCTCCAGCCTATTGATGTAGTCCATACAGATTATCTTCACAGGGCACACTCTGAAGGCACACAAGGTGAAGGAGGGTGAATGGTGGATTTAGAGGGTCAACCAGAAAAAGACCTCAGTGCAGAATTTACAAAAAGTTTACTGCAGATGAAGAGGGAAAGAACTTCGTCCTAAAGCAAAAATGAAGTGCAGACATCTGAAAAGTATTTACTATGTGGACTAGCAGAGAATTTTAAAATAGGTTTGGTATTCTCAGTAGAAGATGAAAAGAAACAGTCTCTATGAAACAGGAAGCAGAGAGCTTATAAGGAGAGAACAGATTAAGATCTAAATAGAGCTGGATAAAATAATGATTTTTTTAAAAATTAAAGATATAGAAGCAAAAGCAGTAAAAAGAAAAATTGAAATGTTAGACAATCAAATGAGTTACAGTCAATACAGAAAACTCAGCTGAAGTGGAAAACGTCAAACATAGAAATTATATCCTAACATTATATTGATGAATATAATAAAATTTAAATTAAAGCCAAGCTTAAAAGTAAAAATGAGAAATTCCTGGTACCAGAAAATAAGAGAAAATTTAAACAGTGAGTGAGAACTAAACCAATGTCCCAAGGAGCATCTGGATTTCATACACGTCTACCTCGATGGATTCTTAACAACTTCACCCAGATGCCGTGGTGGCCATGGGTCTGGTGTCTGGGAGACGGCCCTGAGCTTCCTACATAAAGAGAAGAATCTGCATGAGGCATCCATTCCGAAGGGCTGGAGAGGCTGCCCACTGGCCTTGGGATAAGGCAGAAGGCATCTAACACCCAAGGGTCACTGGAAGACTAATTGTAACCTGAGGGGATAGAAAAACAGAAGCTTGTGGGTGTGATGTCTGAATTTGCACATTTACCGGGTACAGAGGGAAACACAGAGCCGAGACATTTGCCCAAGAACTGGAAGGACACCCCCACAACCCAGATCACTCAGTTCTCCTATGGGAAAATAACTCCCACTGACAATGAGCTCATTTGTACCAATTTCAGCATACAGAAACGAAATAAATTGCCAAAATCAGAATTGGCAGCTACAAAAATGGGAAAATTCACATCCCATCAATCCATTTAGGCAAATCTAAAAGAGGTATTATAAAACAGGTTTAAAATATTTAGAGATGAAAGTAATACAACCAAAATTCAAGAACAAACATAATGCAGAAAAAAAGAGGAGTCAGATATGAAGAAGGAAATGTAAATTATAGATTAAATAATGTAGTTCATTAACATTTAAACAGTTATGTCAGATGGTGCTAAAGAGAAAACTGGTAAAATGATAGACACTTATAAAGAAATCCCTGAGACTGAAGCATGGCCAGATAAAGGGATGGAAATGTGCAAGTTGAGATACAAAGAAAGAATGAGATATTCCAGCTTATCTAGGTTAACTACGCTTCCAAGAGAGATTCCATAAAGTAAGGGAAAAGCAATATTTGAAGAGATGATGTTGGAGAATTTTCCAGAGTTGAAGAAAGTATGCATACTCAGATTAAAAACACTTGTCAAATCCTGAGCAAGATAATTTAAAAACAAATCCACATATAGAACAAATATCATAAGGAAGCTACAGAACCTCAAAGATGACAAGAAAATAATAAAACGTTAGAGAATACAGATCACTTCCCAGGAATGATCACAGACTGTCAGCAGACTTCTCATGAGCAATGATACATGCCAAGCCCAAATGGAGTAATATTTCCTAATTGCTGAGGAAAAGGACTATCATCTTTCAACCCAACCTCAACTATCATTTAAAAGCGAGGATAAAATAAACATATTTCCAGACACACACGCCCAGTAAGAGACTTTATACTGATAGAAAACACCATTTCAGAAGAAATTACTTTACCAGAAAAGAAATTAAATCTACAAGAAAGGAGTTCATACATAGTATTTTAAGGTCTCTTCTTCTCTGGGCAGAAGATATGATGTATCTTAACGTTAAGCTTTGTTAAGACATAAGTGCACACAACAATTTACAGATAATCTTTGAAACAGTGGTTCTCAGCTGGGAGTGATTCTTCCCCTCTGGGACATGTAGCAATATTGGAGACATTTCTGGTTGTCGTAACTTGAGGAAGGGAAGTGCTGCGGTCATCTAGTGGGTAGAGGTCAGGATACTCCTAAGAAGACAGGCCCTCACGACAAAGAATTATCCAGGCCAAAAGGTCATTTGTGCCACTGTTGAGAAACCCTGATTCAAATAAATAAAACAAAAAGTATAACTTTGAAATCAGTAGAGAAAAAGGTGAAAAAAGGATGGTATCCAAAGAAGAAATGAGACCAAAGGAGTAAAGGACTTACATGATAAAGAAATAAGATGATAGAAGTGTACTCATCATCAATATAAGCAAAATAAGCTTACTTAAAAGGCAAATATTCTCAACTTGAATAAAAAGAAATAAAATTCAGCTATTTACAAATTCATGTTTAGAACCTAATGGCATAGGAGGTTTTAAAATAGAGGAATGGAACATGATACTAAGAGAAAGATAGTATAGCAAACAGTATTATCATTAGAGCAAACGGAGTTGAATTGAATTGAATTTCAATTGAATTGAACTTCAATTAATTGAATTGAAAGCATTGTTATGTATAAATATGGACACTACTTGATGATACAATAATTGTGAACCTACATGCACCTAACAATATAAACTGAATATACAACGGGAGGAAAGTATCCAATAGTTTTCACAAGAACTGATAAATTCAGCAGATAAAACAAGAGTAAAACTGGGGATCATTTGTACAATATGCTTAAAAAACCTGATCATAAATAAAGAGAAAGGAATAAAAATTAGGCTGTCTTCTGGCTCCATTGACATGACAGCAATATTAAATATTTTACAAACATGCATGTGCTGGGTTAGGTAGGAAAGACCTGCATCTTTCTGCTTTGAACTAACAAGATTATCCGTTTTGACTGAGTATAAGAACACGGCTTAGAGCCAAAACTTAAACCTAAGACATGTTTTCTTGTTGTAGTTTTTTTTTTGACTCTAAATACAGCAGTTTTTCCACTCTACTACACGATGTATATGAGAAGGTACACAAATTTATCACAATTTTAAAGGCCTCTGTAATAGTTCTATATTTCTGTAACATAAATGATGAAAACTTTCAGCCCAGTTTTCTGAAACTTAAACAATGAATGTAAAATAAACGCTGTAGTATGTATAATTAATCCTCCTTCCCTTTCTCTCACTAACTCTCTTAAAAAATTGTAATTTTTTCCTCCTTAAATATAAAGTTAGTTAAAGAAATTTTGAGGAAAAGGGAATTATCACTTGCGGACATTGTAAAAAGTTGATTGTGATCAGAGAAATTTACTCTAGAATGCTAAGTAGATCACCATTTAATTATTTCCTGAGGGAATTGGAAAGTTCCAGAAGCCACTCTCATGCTTTTCCCAACTTAACTTGTCCTGGATAATGGGAATAAATAAAGTCATGTCAAAGTTCTTTCAGGGTTAAGCATAAATTTTACATGATTTACATATGGGTGTAAGACTGTGTGTTGACATGCCCACAAACTTTTTATAACTTATGTCAGCACCATAGTCAGCTATTCAAAACTCATGGGAAGCAAAATAATTGAACTATAAGTTTCCATGTGAGGTGATAAAAGTAGGCTAAATTTGAAATGAAAATTGTGTAAAACTGGCATGCAAGAAAAAATCATTCTGAAAACATTATTTTCCGCATGGTATATTTATAATAGCCAAACTCCACGGAACTGGAAACTACAGATGTTTGAAGTGGGAGGTAATATTAAATACACTAAAAAGTAAAACAAATGTAATAGTGTGTAGTGTTCTTCCTTTATCAATTGTGTGATTATTTAAAGCACACAGTGTGTGCCTGGCCTTGAAGGACAGAAAAGCATATTGAGTCTTTTTGCCAGTGCTATTTCCTGATACATCAGCACTGCCTCCTCCAGCTGCAGTCACAGTGTCAGGACACTGCTCGTTATGAGTGGGGCCAGGGTGCTTCTGATAGCAAAGATGTATTTAAAATTGTGATGGTTGTGTCCATCTAAAAGAAATTCTTTGATCTGTACTAGAAACTATAATCCTCCAAAAAAAAAAAACTACGCAAAGGAGTAAGAAAAAAGGATAAAGTGCTAAGAAACAGTACAAAAATAATGTTTCAGATGGTATCTTTCCAAGCGATGTAGTATTTCAAAAATATTGACTCTATATTCATATGATTTTAATATCACTGGTTTATCATTAGTGATGTTATAAGAATCCGTATGAAATTATATTTGATTTTACATTACTAGAAATCTACATATAATATACTACATGTTCTGCTTTTAACATCATTTCACATTCTACTTAAATTTCTTCAGTAAAATAGTAATATATATTTTATATGTATTTCTGAACCATTGACCTTCTCAAGGGATGTATGCCAACACCTTGGTGGATCCCTCAAATTTTAAAAACAAATGTGTAAGTGACTTGCTTCTTCACTGGCACTATGTCTGTCCCCTGTACATCCTAACACTAAAGTTAACTACACTTTTATTAGCATCTTTCTGTTATTCAATGGCTATTTTCCAAAAAGAATACACTTTTATAACATGTAAGGTAGTATGAAGGCTATGGAATGACAAGTAAAGCATAAAATTGTGCTGTGATTGTTTGCTGGCTAGCTAAACACATCAGCCCTTCGATGGGCAAATAAAATCCATGAACTGGCAAGACCATAAATTTCCATATGCCCTGGACTTCCTATGTCCTAGTGAAAACTGTGAATGTTGACTCTTCAAATTTCAAAAATCTACTCTCTGTATGTGTGTGTGGTGTGTGTATCATGGGTTGACAAATGTTTTTGTAAATGTCCAAATGGTAAATATTTTAGGCTTATTTATATATACACAAATATATGTACACTGCAATATTTATAAATATATAAACTACATACATATACACAAGTATAATACTATTTATTTGATTTATCTACCAATTTCCAAGCATTTAAAAATGCTATTTTCTCATATTCTACCATAGTGTTTTAAATTAAACTTTGTATTTTGAGATAATTGAAGACTCAGAGGCAGTTGTGAGAAATAACACAGAGGAATCTCTGTATCCTTCACCCAGTTTTACCCAATGGTAACATCTGTAGTGCAACACCACGGTTAGGATACTGACATTGATACAATCAAGATACAGAACATTCTAATCCAAAAAGATCCTTCATGTTGTGCTTTTATAGCGATACACTTTCCTCCAACCCACAACCCTCCTCAATCTCGGGCACCCCTTAATCTGTTCTCTGTTTCTACAGTTTTGCAATTTTAAGAATGTTATATAAATGGAAACATATGCCATGTAAACTTTGGGACTGGCTTTTCTCATTCAGCATAGTTTTCTGGAGATTCACCCAGTTATTACATGTAGCATAATTCATTCCTTTTTATTGTTGAGCAATATTCCATGTAGGGGTGTCTGGCAGTTTGTTTAATCATCCCTTGAAGAATGTCTGGGTTGTCTCCATTTTGGGGCTACAATAGGCTTTTGTATAAACATAAATCTTAATTTCTCTGCTATAGATACCCATGAGTGCAATTGCTGGGTCATATGTTAGTTGCAAGTTCAGTTTTTTAAGAAACTACCAAAATGTTTCCAGAGTGACGGTAACATTTTACGTTCCCACCAGCAATGTCTGAGTGATACAGTTTTTACTTATCCTCACCAGCTTTTGGTGATGTTGCTATTTTTTATTCTAACCATTCTAATAGGCTAGGGATGTTGAGCATCTTTTTAGGGGTTGATTTCCCGTCTGAACGTCCTCGACAGCAAACTGTCTGTTCTTGCCTTTGCTTATTTTCTGATTGGATTGCTTCTGTTTTTACACTTGAATTTTGAGAGCTATTTTATATGGTGGAGATGCCAGTTCTTTCTCATGCAGATGGTTTGTAAATATTTTCTCCCGGTCAGTAGTTTCTTATTCTCTTATCAGGAACTTTCAAAAAGCAAATATTTTTTTTATTTTTATGAAGTCCAATTTATCAACTTTTCCTGTCATGGATTATTCTGTTGGTGTTAAGTCTAAGAACACTTCACTTAGCCATAGATCTGGAAGATTTTCCTTTACGTTTTTTTCTTAAAAGTTTTATACTTTTACACTTTGTAATTTAGTCTGTGACCCATTTCGAGTTAAATTTCATATAAGGTGTGAGAATTAGATTGAGTTTATTTTTTCTATTTTTTCCCCCCAGATGTCTCATTGCTCCGGGACCATTTGTTGAAGTGGCTTTTTCCTCCACTGAATTGCTTTTGCACCTTTCTCAAAAATCAGTTGGGCATAATTGTTCTATTTCTGGGTTCTCTGTTATGTTCCGTTGATCTATGCGTCTATCCCAGTGCCAACACCACACAGTTGTGATTACTACAGCTGTACGGTAAGTTTCATAAAATGGATTGGAAAGTATTGTATTCCCTTCTCTTCTATTTTCTGGAAGAGATTGTTTAAACACTTAATGGAATTCTCTAGTGGAACCATACAGGTTTTGAGATTTCTGTGAGAAGTGTTTAAATTACAAATTCAACTTCCTTAATAGTTACAGGGCTATTCAAATTATCTATTTCATATTAGATAAGCTATGGTGGTTTGGGTTTTTCAAGGAATTGTCTCATTTTATCTAAGTGATCGGATTTATCTGTGTGAAGTTGTGTGTAGCACTCCTCTATTATTCTTTTGATGTCTGCAGGGTCTCTGAACTGATATTCTATTTTATTCCTGATAGCGGTCAATTGCATCCTCTGCTTTTTTTTGTCAGTTTTCCTAGAGGTTTGTCAACTATATTGATCACTTCAAAGCACCCGTTCCTTGTCTCATTGATTTTGTCTATTGCTTTTCAGTTTTCAATTTCATTGACATCTGTTTAAAGAATTTCCTTTAGCCATTCTTTTAGCTTAGTTCTGCTGGAAACAGATTCTCTCAGTTTTCTTTCATCTGAGAATGTCTTCCTTTCCTCTCCATTACTGATCTATGCAGAGGATTTCTGGGTTGATAGAAACCTTTTTCTTTCAGTGGTGGAAAAATACTGTGCCAATTCCTCCCGGCCTCTGTGTTTTCTGATGGGAAACCCACTGCCATTGAAATTACTCTTCCCTAATAGGTAAGGTGTCATTTTTCTCTCTCTGCTTTCAATGTTTTCTTTGTCTTTAGTTTTCAGGTGTTTAATTACCATGTGTCTTGACATAGATTTCTTTGGATTTATCCTGTTTGAGGACCACTTAGTTTCTTAAATCTGTAGGTTTGTGTCTTTTGCCAAATTTAGGGAGTTTTCAGCCATGTTTCCTTGAGTACGTTTTCAGGCCCTCCTTGTCTTTCCTCTCCTTCAGGGAATCTTACAACATGAATGTTAGATCTTTTATTGTCATCCCACAGGGGCCAGAGGCAGGCTCTGTTCATATTTTTCAGTCAATTTTTTCTCTATTATCCTAATTTGGTAACTTATATTGTTCTGTCTTCTAGTTCACTGATTCTTGCATCTGTCACTTCCATTCTGCTCATCATTCCATTCACTGAGTTTTTCATTTTGATTGCTATATTTTTCCACTCTAAAATTTTCATTTACTTCTTCTTTATGTCATCCGTTGCTTTGGTGAAAGTTTCTATTTCTTTGCTGAAACTTCCAATTTTCTTTCATTTCAAGCATGTTCATAATTGCGGAGAACACATACAGACTGGTGGTAAAGGGAGATTGCATTTTGACACCTATGCAGCAGGCCTAGAGTGCAAACAGTCTTAATAATTTAAGAAGGATAGAGGACTTCAGGTGGAATGTGCCAAGGAAAAAAAGATGAAACAAGTGTGTTCGAATATATTGCCAGCATTTTTGCAGTTTTACAGGTCTGTTGGAGAATTGGATATGAATTAGAGCTAAGTACATAGAACACCAAACCAATGAAAAAACAGTAGATAATTATAACCTCCAGAGAAATTAAAAATTATACACAAAATAAAATGTCTCATGATACACTACACAGCTCAGTTGTGAATATTTATAGTCATAGTATCATCAAGGAATATTGATTTCACCAAAATTACGGTATTTAAAAGGTAAGGGAGGGCAATGTGTTTAAGGGGATGGTATCGGGGCAATGAGAGTTTAATGGAGCTAACTCCTCCTTCTACTTGGTAGTAAGTCAATTTTTAATATCTCAAATGAAAATAGAGAAAGAGAACTTTTAAGTGGTTATAAGGAATTTTGAAGATAAATATTATAGAAAACAGTTAATTGAAAACAGTTAAATGTGTTTGACTCTTGGAAGAGACATTAGCGGTGGGAAGGGCAGAGTGGAACATAAGACTATGGTTTTGTTGTTGTTATAAACCTATAGGACTATAGTAAAAATAAAGACTAAATTTTTAAAAACCATATAGATTGTAACTCACTTTTTAAGTGTGCTCTCCTGCTACTGGAGCTGGTGACTAATAAACCTTTAAGTGACCCTAGATGTGTGCTGTTTGTATTCAGAGGGCTTCTGAATTATGACCCACTTTTCAATGGCTGAAAGTTGAACAACGTTATTCATGTTAGAAATCCCATAATATTCTATAAACTGTAGGAAAGTCTTTACAAAGTTTTCTGAGATTTTCAACTAAGTCTTCAAGGTTTCTCTGCTCCAATTTCTCTGGTATCAAATTTTTTAAAAAAAAGAAAGAAAAAATATATATATGATGTTATAAAAATACTTTTAATAAACTACATCAATGAAAGTTTGCCACAGGACAAACCTGTAAAGGTTTTATTTTTTTTATAACATTTATTTTTTTAATTATTTTATTGAGGTCACATTGGTTTATAACATTGTATAAATTTCAGGTGTACATCATTGTATTTCAGCTTCTCTATAGACTGCATTGTGTTCACCACCAAAAGTCTAGTTTCTTGTAAAGGTTTTAAAGACCTCCTTGTCCTGCCTACAAGGTTCTCCTTTGCCTTGACAGAGTGTCCTCATAAACGCCTTCCTTGCTTCTCTCTGCCAGTCCTTTTTGTCAAAATCTGCCAAAAGGAAAGGAAATGACCTGACCCTACATTTCAGTCTTCGTTTCTGTTAGTGAGTTAAGTTGTTATGCGAGAGTAATGAGGTCAAAATCTTAATGACTTGACACCGAGTTTCTCTCTCAGTCTCACAAATTCTGCTGCAGGGTCTGGGCAACCCTCCAGGGTGGCCAGCCTCCATGTGGTGGCTCTGCACTACAGGCCTCTTGGAACTGTTGGCACCTCCGCATCAATGCATACTTCTACAATTGCTTCAACAGAAGAAGAGATCAGAGAAAATCGTGCACCAGCTCGTAAATGCTTCTGCCTGGAAATGATCATTGCACTCACATGTCACTGACCAAATCAAGTCACAAGTCACATCTTACGAGAGGATTTCTAAAACTCATGGTCAGCAATAATGATGTCCACCACATAATATTGCTGCTCATAAGGTCATTTGATTTTGAGTGTTAACACTAGTGATGAAATGCAAGATTTTGTTCCCATTAAAATAATTTCAGACGCTAGTGAGGTAAGAACCTTTAGGAAAGAGATTTCACCTGACGCTCTTTGAAAGTAAACATCCATGGTTTGTTCTTCCTCTCAGAGAGGCAGGCACTTTAGAATCTGTAAGGTAGAAATTGCCTTAAAATTATCTAATGCTTTTATTTGCAGTCTTTGCATGGCAAATCCCTTCTCACATTCATATTTCACCAAGAAATGTGTATAGTTTGGAGCAATAATACATCTTGAGTTCATTTGTGCTAGTATGTTACAAATTATGAGTCCAATTAAAGATGTTAAATTCTTAGCTACTTTATGATATCGTCTTAATTGGTGAGAGCTTTCCTTGGCGTCATATCCCCCTAGCTATTGTTAAGAAAAATTTTAAATGAAGCAAAGGATGGCTGCATGTCCTTAATCATTATATAAGCCTACTATGACTCTCAAGGACCCAGGAAAGTGTAACATGCTAGACTTACTATTTACTACTGATTTTGACCCAGACATTGAACAACATCCCAAAGTCAGATTTTGGTGTGTAGGAAAGTGATGAGATGAGATTATTTTTCTTTGTGGTGGACACTGTGATGTATTGTCCAGATCTCCCTTCAGAAATAAAGA